GAAAATGACCCTGATCTGGTGCCCTTCCTGATGACAGATGATGGCTTCAGTGAGTGTGGTCTGCTGGCCGAGCTGCTGCCTGGCTTCTTGGGCCAAGGGTTCTGGGAAAGTTACCAGTGACCTGCCTGGCTCTTCCCTCCGTCATCGGGGCATTGCTCTCCAGGGCTGAGCTAGGGGATCTAGATTTGGCTCTTGGAATGGGTAGTCGAAGTCGGTGTGGCGGCCCCTCCTGCTGGCCGCCTACTGGTCAGCTCCATGAGGGCAGGTGCGAGTCCCAGCACCAAATCCAGAGCCCCTTCAAAAGCCACAGCAGGCCTGGTGGAAGGAGGGGCAGAACTAGGTGGCTGGGTAGGTCTGGGCTATTGTGAAGTCTCCCGCAGTTCCCCTGACTGGGTGCTCTGTAAGGGAAGTAGTGTACACTAGGTGTTCAATAAATGCTTATGGAAAGGCGACTGGGAGAGAGCTGGTGCTCTTAATCCCTGCACATGTCTGGGGCTCCAGCTGGAAGGTGGTAGAATCTGTGATGCTTCGTGGCCTCTGGCCACCGGCTGGGCTGATGTCTGAGCAGAAGCCTCTACAAGTCCCGGGAGTTGTCCCCACCCTGGCACCCCCAGCAGCACCCCCAGCCCTGCCCCATGGAGATCCCTTGCCAGTCCCCATGACCCCAAAGTGAATACAGCATCAAATCTTAAAGGCACGGGTCGGTCTCGCCGAGAGGCCAACTGGGCACGTAACGCTCCCTGTCGGGCCCGCTCACCCTCCCACAACTGAACATACACCTTCAAACAGGCATGCCAGCGGGGGTCAACCGATGACCATAATGAGAACAGTCACCTACACATGTGCACAGCTCTTTACAGGTTACAAAGGGTTTCACATACATCATTTCATCAATTCCTCACAACAGCCCTGTGAGGTAGGCAGGGCGGGGGATAATGTTCCCATTTGTACCAGACCGATGGGGATGCCTCTCTCTGAGGCCCACGCGAGGCCACGTGACCTCGCTCCAGGCCACACAGCAAGTGAGAAGGCAAGAGCTAGGGACCGGAGAGGCTAAGTTTCTCGAGGCAATCTTGGCCTCTGGCCCCTGGCTCTCTCCGCTGACTGTGCTGTCCCTCAGGAGGACCCCAGCCCCTGCCCAGTATCTCAGACACACCCAAGCGGGGTCCCCACCTCCGGAAGTAGTGCTGCCTGGCAGCCCAGCAGACAGGCTCCACCCCCATGGGGCAGCCCTGTCCCCTCCACCTGCCCCTTGCAAAAAGCCAGCTCAGAGCTGCCACTCAGCCACTTCTGATGGCGCCTTGGCAGGGTGGGCGGGAGGGTGGGCTAGAACCTCCTTTCCTGTTTTCCTGAGTGATCCCTCCCCACAGGGGAAGAGAAGAGAAAGGAGGAAGAGGAGGAGGAGGAGGAGAGAAAAACAAGAAACCGAGTTGGAAGAAGGCCCTGGAACAATCAGGACGTCAAAAGTTTGCATTCCGACTAGCTATAGGAAAGTTTTTTTTCTTTTATTTCAAGTTTTCATAAAAATCCATAATTATTGAAACCCAAGTTACAGAGGAAGTTTGTAACTTTTTTTTTTTTATTGAATTATTGATTCTGCCGCATGTCGGTTTGTCGGCTTTGGACTCCAGTCTTGTCAATGAACGCCCCCTGAGCAGGTGGAGGTGGGGGGGTCCCCAGGCCTGGCCTTCTGAGGTCCTGGTAGAAAGTGGGCAGGTGCTGCGGGCTGGGGGTGGAGCTAGAGAGCGCGCGGGGTGGGGCGGGGAGGAGCTGGGCGGGGCTTCCCCGCCGCCCCGCCTCAGATCATCTTCATGTTGAACTTGCGGGGCGCGTCTGCGGAGCTGATGCCCGCGTCCGATTTCCGCGGCACGTACTCGATCTCGATGTTGTGCTTTGTGTTGCCTTTGCCTCGACTCCAGAGGAACAGCAGCACCAGGCAGAAGAGGACGACACCCAGGAAGGAGATGAAGCCCATGGTGGTGGCGATGATGAGGGTCTTGATGTCGAAGGGGAAAGGCACGGTGGCGCGGGTGCTGTTGGCCTCTCCCTCGCCCGGCTGGTTGGAGATGAAAGCGAAGGTCTTGTTAGGCTGATGGGGCCAGTCGGGCGAGTAACTGCGCACATGCAGGTGGGCAGGCATGGAGTCGTTGCCACCCGCGTTGGCGGCGATGCACAGGTACGTGCCATTGTCCTGCACCTGGGCGTAGCGCACCTCCAGCGTGCCATCGGGGAAGACCGTGAGCCGCCCGTTGCTCTTGGCCGAGACCAGGTGCTTGCGGGGCGACAGCCAGAGGATGGCCGGCGGGGGGTCCCCATCGGCGCGGCACACAAACTGCACCGTGTGGCCCTCATCCACAAACACCTGCTGGGCCTTGCGGTCCCGGATACGGGCCCGGCGGCAGGTGAAGTAGTTGGGCAGGAGCACATCGGGGAAGTCCTTGAACTCCTTGCCCTGGACGAACTCGGGGGTGGCGCAGGTGGGCTGCTGCCGGTTGAAGTTGAGCCGCCAGCGGCGCCGGAAGACCCACAGGAGCCGGCAGTCGCAGGCCAGCGGGTTCGAGTCCAGGATGAGCGTCTCCAAGTTGCCCACCGAGTGGAAGGCCGACTCCTCCAGGGTGGTCAGCTGGTTGCCAGAGACGTTGAGCACACGCAGGTAGTTGAGGCCCCGGAAGGCGTAGGGCTCCACCACGGCCAGCTGCCCGCCCACCAGCTGGAGCTCCTGCAGCCGCAGGAGCTCATGCAACATGGAACCCTCTATGGTGCCGATGGGGTTGTAGGAGAGGTTGAGGAAGCGCAGATAGACCAGGTGGCGCACGGCCAGGTAGGGCACTGCGGTCAGATTGCAATGCGTGATGGACAGGGAGGTCAGGTTGAGGCCGTAGAGACAGTTGGGGGTCATGGTGTCCAGGTAGGGCCAGTGGGAGATCTCCAGGACCTTGAGCCGGTACAGCCTCTTGAAGGAGTAGTCTCGGATGGCATTGATGTTGAGGTGACGGAGCCTCAGGACAATGAGGCCGTGCAGGTGGGACAAGGCCTCGGTGGGGATGGAGGTCAGGTTACATTTCTCCAGCGTCAGCTGCTCCAGGCTGTTGAGGCCGCTGAAGGCACGGTGGGAGATGTAGACGAGGTCATTGTCACCGACCTCCAGCGACTTGAGGTTGTACAGGTCCTGGAACATGTAGTCCAGCAGGATGACGATCTTGTTCTCGCTGATGTCCAGTTTGGTCAGGTTGCTGAGGCCAGTGAAGACGCCCAGTGGGATGAGCTTCAGGCGGTTGCTGCGCAGCCCGAGCGTCCGCAGGTTGAAGAGGTTGTTGAAGGCGCCGGGCTCCACGGCGCTCACCACGTTCTCGTTGAGTTCCAGCTCCTCCAGGTGCGGGAAGCTGGCAAACTCGTCCTGGTTGAGCATCTTGATACGGTTTTTGCCCAGATCCAGCAGGCGAGTCTCGGTGGGGATGCCCTCGGGCACCGCCACGAAGCGCTTGCGGTGGCAGAGCACGGCTCGGTCCTGGGCCGAGCACTCGCAGCGCGGCGGGCAGCCCGTGGCCGAGCCTGACAGCACCGAGCCCAGCACCAGCAGGAGGATGGGCTGCCAGCAGGCCAGGAGGGGGCTGGGCATGCTCCTCGCGCCCCCCGCCAGCATCCTCTCGCTCACCTGCAGCCGGAAGCAAGCACAGGACAGAGATGGCAGTGAGAGGGCAGCGTGTGGCTGGACCCCCAACCTGAGATGATGCCCCCAGATCGCCACCCACCGGGGTAGTCCTGCTGAGACAGACAGGCAGGGTGCAGAGGGGCAGTCACAGCTGCCTGGGACCCCTGCAGGGAGGGCCAGCCACCCTGTGCTGCACGGAGCCCACTGAAAGGACTCTCCCTGCGTCCCTGGGGTGGTGAGACTGGGGGCAGGGGCAGGGGCAGGGGCAGGGGCACTGCCTTTAAGTTTCACAGGCAACTCACTCCAGGGACGGATGAAGCCAGACCCAGTGAGCCACCTGGGGATCACCTAGGAGACCAAAGGGCTCAAGTGCCAGGATTCTGGGAATAGCCCTGGGAGAGGGCTGAGGGGAGAGTGAGGCCCTGGCCTGCAGGGCAAGGACCCCTGGGGCTGTTGGAGACCCACCTCCCTCAGCCCTTCGCCCCAGCTTCCCAAGTGGGAAGTGCCCTTCCCACTAGCCCGGGGGCTGAGTCCTGGGCAGTCCACAGACCTGATGGGGGTTCCCTCGAGGGACCAGCACCCAGTCCCGGGTACCACCACTGCCCCAGGTCCAGGACACATGTCCTGCCTCCCCATCTTGACGCTGCAGTTCTTTTCCCCCCAGAATACCCTTGCCCAGCTTGCTGAAAGCCCAGCTTGAAGCACCAATGTCAGTCCACTGCTCAGAAGTGGCCCTGTCACAAGGCCCCTCACCTTCCCCGTCTGCTTCTCAGGGTCCCCAGCTCCAGGCTTCAGTGAAACTGCTAGTCCAAAGTGGGGGACTTTGGACTCCTTCCCTCCCCACACCCTCACTCACCCTCTGCTTTTGAGGCCACAGTCATTCATACTTGTCATTGACTTATCAAGTTAAAGCAAGTAAGGTTCAGAGAGGCTGTGGCTGATCCCCAGTCAGTAGAGGAGGCTGATTGGGGACAGGCACTCTGGTCTGTCAGACTCCAGTGACACCAAATACTTTAGAATGCTCCACTGATCTTCCAGGGCTGACAAATACTTCCTGGTTGTTGATTGACTAAATGACTGATTATCCAGAGAGGACTCAGGGTGTCACTGACATGTTATGGAAATTGCACGGTTTTCATTGTCCCCAAGGGCTTTGTCCACCCTACCTCCTTCACCCGCCTCCCCATCCTTGCTCCAGATTCTGCTGTGGCTCTCTTGCCACCCCACCCCCACCAGGACATTTTCCACAGTCACACACGCTCCAGTGACCCACCAGAAAAGCAAACATCCTGACGGGCAATCAATAAGTAATTGGGGTGCAGCTGGAGCGGGCGCGGACGTGAGGCTGGGGACCTCAACAGGTAAACAGGACTGTTAGCACCCAGCTCAGGGCTGGGCTGGCATGGAGCTGCCGTCTACCTCCTCTCCCAGGCAGCAGAGCCACCCAGGTACCTCCCATCTCCAAAGCCACTGCCTTTGGAGAATCATCCCAGCTGCCTTTGTGGCCTTCCACCCCAAAGGCTGCCTCCTCCACGAAGCCATCCCTGATCTGCTCAGTCAGACGTCATCTCTTGTTTGCAATACTGAAGCACTCTATTGTTCTCAGTAGTGACATTATGTAATTACTGTAGTGTACCACACTCCAAGAGTGTGCCTAGAGCCTGCTAACAGAAAAATGAGGACAGGGGGAAAAGCCAAAGAAGCCAGACTGCCGCAAAATCCTGCATGAGGACTAGAGTGAAGAGCTTCCCAGTGACAAGGGCAAAGAAGGAGACATGTTCTAAAACCCCAGTGCTCGGCACCTCTCCTGTGGAGTCCTGGGTGCATTCGTGTCCCCTGCTGGAGTGACAAGCCCAAGGTGTGGCACAGAATGGACACTGACTGCTGTTTGGAAGGAAGTGTGTGTGTAAGACTCAGGCACTGCTATTTGAGTCCAGAGCCCCACACTTTCTAGGCAGGTGCTCTACCACTTGAGCCACACCCCCCAGCCTTTTTTTTGCTCTAGTTATTTTTCAGATAGGGTCTTGCACTTTTTGCCCGGGTTTGGCCTCAGACCTCGATCCTCCTACCTCTGCCTCCCATGTAGCTGGGATCACAAGGATGTACTGCCATGCCCAGTTTTTCTTTGACACAGGGTCCCAGTATCCCCACCTCCTGAGTAGCTGGTGTGAGCCAGTGCACCCAGCCAAGAGTGGGTTTTTACAGGCGCGGAAACGCCCTGATGGAGCAGCCCATTGAACAGTGAGGCCTGGGGTATTCTGATGGGAGAACTGGCCAGCCTTGCCCTGTATAGCTTAACCCCCAAGAGAGGCAGTTAGACCCACAGAGCAGTGGACACACTGAATTCCCTCATCCTGTTTTTCACAGGTGGCTGTCCTGAAAGGTGGGAAAACTGTGGCCCAGAGAGGCCAGGACACCTGCCAAGCTAGCACAGCATGCTGGGCCTTGTCTCACCCCCATAGGGTCCCTGTCAGCTAGGGATGCTAGTGGGTTCATGTCTGAGGGATCCCCCACACTGCTGGGTGGGCAACATGCAACCCCTGCCAGTCTGGCCCCGTCACTCTGGCATTTCCTTCTGCAATAGCAGAGGAGAAGTGTTTTATGCATTTTAATCAGTGTTTCACTTTGGATTCTTGCCCCCTGAAGGGCTCCTTAGAATGGTAAGAATTAAAAATTGAACCAATAAATAAAAGGAAATAAACATCAAAGGTGGGCAGGCAAAAAACAGCAGTGCCTGGAATGTGATGTGGGGGGTGGGGCGCAGACCCTACAGTGTCCTGCGTCCTCCCCAGGTCCAAAGGGTAGGGGGGAAGGAGGAAGCAGAGCCATCAGCCCACCTGCAGAGGACAAGGCCAGGCTCTGAGTGGCCCCTGTAGGGGGATGAGGGGACTGTCATCCCCATCCACACCCTTGCTCATGTCCCAGACAGATGTGCCCCAGCTCAGGCAGCGCTGCCTGCCACCCACCACATGCAGTTCTTGGTGGCCAGCCTGCGGTGGGACACTGGGTGGTGCCTGCCCTCCTTCCACTACCGCACAACGAGGGGCTGGATTCCAAGGTCCCCAGGACGCTGACAGCAGGAAATGGACTTTCTCTAGCTGGCCAGTCAACACCCCCAAACCTGACTAGGGGTTTCAGAGCAGTTTCACCAGGGCTGGGGGACTTATGTGGAGATGGCCTCAGGCTGGTTAGCTCCTTGATTGGGGTTTCCACCGGGCTGCTGCTCCAGGGGTTCAGATGCAGAAGGAAGGGGGATGGGCTTGGGGAACCACCGAGGGAGTCCCCTATGGGCGGGGACATGTCTCCTCCACAACACCCAGCCGTGTCTAAAGCCAACCACACACCCCATTCAGAAATGGGGGACTAGCATTGGAGAGTCCCTGCTGCAGCTGGGTTTTGGGCTTTACATACACTGTCGCAAAAACCCTCACACCCTTCACACAGGCATTTCTTTTCCATTTTACAAATGAGAAAACCGAGGGCCAGGAAGGCAACTCACTTGTGTCAGGACTAGGTCACAAAGCCAGAAGGCAACTGAGCTCTGTTCCCTGTAGTAGGTCTGCCTGTCCCAAGAGTCACCTGGTGGGAAAGGGGTTCAGTTCTGTAACCATACATAGCAGGCCAGTCCTTAGAGGCTGGGCCTTTAGGGCTTGGTTAGGGTGAGGTCCCAGGGCCGAGGGAAGGCTCCGGTCCTCAAAATGCTGCGTCCAGGTGTCCTGCCTTCCGGCTCCACAAGACGCTTTGTCCCAGGGTCCAAACTGTACATTGAGCACTCCGTGTCTTCAGTGATTTTCTGCTCTGCTGAGCCTGCTGCTGCTGCCTGGACTCTGATCTCCCCTAATTTGGGGTAGGCTGTAGTATGGGATGGGAGGTTTTGTTATTTTCGGTTTACGGTATTAATATTTCATGGTGCTCTCGCTCAGTGTTCCATGGGGATTGCAGGGATCCCCAGCTTACACAGGCATGAGATCTGGCACGAGGCACCTGCTCTATGAAGGCCAGGGCCCAGGCCCACTGAGCAGCTGGCTTTGGGGGTTCTCAGACTGGCCAGGTGGCCTGATGGCTTCTCACTAGGAACTGAGGCAGGTGACATGGGCTATTATTACCCTGATGCTCACCGTTCCCATGGCTGGTCTTAACAGGAGACTGAGAGGAGGGACAGCAGGCTGGGAAGGGGGCTGGAGGGCTCCCCAAAGTGACCAGGGCTCTGCTGGGCTCCCCTGTCCAGAAAGGACAACTGGGGGAGCAGGAGAGAGAGAGGTGACAGGATAGAAACCGGGACACATGGGGAGACATGGGGCGGTGGGGTGGGTGAGAAATGAGGTGGGGGAGAGAGGCAGCGGAGGCAGGAGGGGGAGACATAACTAGGGGTTGGGAGAAGGAGGGGTGGCAGGAGGGTCACAACCTACCCTGGTGACATGCCTCCCTCTCTGGGCTTCATCCTCACACTGTGGCTTAAGCCTTGGTCCTGGCAATGCCTCTTATCCTCAAGCACCCCCTCTAGGTGGGTTGGATCACCTGGCCATTTCCAGATGGCAGGATGGGACCCATACGTGTGGGGACAGGCAGAAGGTCTGGGTTCCTTGAAGCTCGCCCTGTTCCCAAGGCCCTGCCTATCTGGGCTCCCTTCTTTGCCCTCAGCTCCAGGGTGCTGATGGGTCCATGGTGTGATGCCACCAGCTATAAGTAGACACTGCTCCAAGGCAGTAAGGACTAAGTGACTGTAGGCAGTGTCTTTCTAGAAAGCACTCTCTGGCCACCCAGATGGGGTCCTTCCTCCTACTTCTCCAGGTCTTGCAGTCTAGTTCACGGTCTATTCTTCCCAGCAGTTCTTCCAGGAGGAGGAGGAGGAGGGGTTGAAGCTGCTCAGGCTGAAACACAGTGGATGGTCCACTGGCCAGGCCACAGGCAAGGGGAGGGCAATGTTGACAGAATGTGCACATGGAGACCACTCGTGGCTTGGTCAATCTGAGAGCATCCGGGGACTCCTAATGGCTTCTCTC